CCCCACAGAGGAGGGGGTTGCAGGCCTTTGGATGCCCCACAACCTCTACTTGCCCCTTCCACATGTTGGCCTCTCCAGGGCCTTAGGTGCGCATGGAAGCCATGTAGCGAAAGCAAACCACTCAAGAACACACACAAGGTCATGAGAAGTGGACCGTCAGCACCGTACCAGGCCGCCACCTGCTCCCATAATTCCTCAGCAGATAGCCCCCCCCCATCCGCTTGCAAAACCCAGAGTGACTGTGACACAGAGCTGCATGTGGCGGGTGCCAGGTGGAGGTCACCCAAGCAATGGCGTCCTCCATTGGAGAAAACTATTTGTGTGAAATATAAATGTGCTATTGCATTTCTCAGCTTCCAGGCCTGCTTTGGAATACAGAAAGAGCCACTGCTGAACTGCTCACACAAACCGAGACATATGTTACAGTTCAAATGAGACTACAGTGGGATCATCGGCACCTTGGGGTGAAATGCAGACCAGGCCACACCCCTACCCTGCACCTTGCTTCTTTCTCTATCCATGCCTCGCCTCTCGACCTACCTCTTCATTTGGCAAATCACGATAAAAAAATTCAGTGTCCTGAATTGTGAAGCTGAAGCACAGCACATTTACATAACATGGGGAATCAACCATGGAGTATGTAAGTGCTGTAGCAGAGCGACGGTGACGTCAGTACAAGCAATCCGCTCTTGGATACAATCTGAGTATTCCTCCCCATCCCCCAGACACGATACTTGCTTCATCACTCTGAGTTGTCACAGCAGTAAAAATGGAGCGGATCACGGCCCTCCAGTCCTCTGCATCATGTACCAGGTGTTGGCAGTGAGGGTACACTCTTTCCAGCATGCCAGTGGGCTGAGAATGTCATTGGGCTAAAACACATCAGCTGTGGTGCCAACTTTCGTCGTCTAACGTCACTACACAGCCAGGGATAATTATCCCAGCTCAACCCCAGTGCTGCCATGGCTATGGGTTCCTCAAGATGGCTAACTGACACTTTGCTGCCGTTTTCATTCTTGATGAATTACTGATTTGCCGTTTAATCTATTCCTGTCTCCAATCTGACCTCATGTCTATCATCTGTCTGGGAACAAGGAAGTCCCCGGATGACCAAGCAAGTGGGACTCCTAAGTTACACATCACATTTCTGTGGTATTGAAGAGAGACTTGCTGATGCAGTATGATGCATTATCCAACCTTGCATTGCGAGTTGTGTGGGTCTGATGTACAAAATAAGATTATATTTACTCAGCAGAGACTTTCATCCAAAATCATGATCAAGTAAGAAAAGCCTGGGGTCTGAGAGCAGGATTAGGAAATGTCCCTGGAGCACGTGGGGTTAATGTTCTTGTTCCAGGGCCCAAAGCCTTCTAGACTTCAGCACAGATGTCTAACCCTCTGAGCTACACAGTCAGTCTGTCTGCAGATATTACTGCAAGATATTCCCCAGGCAAAGCTATGGAGGAGTGAAAAGTGCATGATGGGTACTCACCCTGGACTTTTCTTCTAATCGGGTCATCATCACGATTGTGGCAGACCTCTGTTCCCACACCATCCTCCAGAAGTCGCTCAGAGTCTCGGGCAGTGGGCCCTGTGTAGCGATGTAGGCATTCTGCTTGCGGTAGCCATCAATATAGTTGGCGTTGATGTAGTCGCTTCCTGGCACACCTGAGAAGCAGAGACACTCTGTGACATCACCCCCTACCTTGAATGAAACATCCAATAAGCTTCATCTCCCAGTTGACTGAGATCATGGAAGGACCTCATTGGCCAGTGGCATTTTGAGGGAGCCATTTAGGCCACTTGCCATAAGCATACTCACCATCGATGGAGCTGAGGATGACTCGAGAGTGGTCATATGCAATGACATTTGCATAGCGGTTCTTTGGCTTGTTCACCTCGAGGTTTGAGTTCTCCCACGTGAACTGCTGGCCAGGGTCTATAGACTGAGATAGAAAGACAGGGAAGAGAGGAAGTGGGCTTTAGAGGCCTCACACATATACTGTAGTTGGGCCTGGGGCACGTTATTAATGCTGCATGGTATCTCTTCAGGTGTAGATTAACATGACCTATGAATGTGTAGGCAAATTAAACCAAATTAAACCAACCAACCAAATTTCTGTGTTTCATAGACATCGGTCATTTGCATGTTGCATTTGCTGACCAACTCCAGGTACATTGAGTTGTGGTAGAGAGAAGGAAATTAAAGAGATGATAAAAGCAAGCTGGAGGACATGGAAGTCAGACAGAAACTCCTTCCCCAGAGTATCCCACTGATATAATGCCATGCAGGTCAATCATCAGAGCTTCTTCCTGCCGGCCACTTGAGCCCATCTCTCTAACCTTCCTGATGATGGCTATTAGTCCTGATGGTTTGTTCTTTTGTTACTCTTTAATGGAAAATGCCAGGTTCTCCATTGGTGCCCTGGGAACCTTCTCCCTTTTCCTTTAAGAAAGCACCTCCACTCCTTCTTGCTCTAATGAAAGGCAAACTTACTATATAAAAAAAACCATTTACAAATCCAACATAGCACAACAAGTCCGCAAGTGTGAATGGGTATTCTCCTTTCCCTATGCAGGGTCTATGTTTCCCAGCACAGCCGGGGGCCAGCTTGAGGAACCCGCTGCTGTCAGGTGTCCTGAGAGAAGCCGAGGTCACCTTCTCATTCATATCACCCCCATTTTTCCTCCCCTTGGCCTGTCCATCAGAGGACACCCGGGATTGGCCGGACGCTCTTTTTAGCCAGTACTCCCACTTACAGAGATCTGCACCATGACGGATGTATGAAAACAAGCGTGCGGCAGGTCGAGCAGATGGCGAGAGCGTACACTCTGTGTATTTTTAAATCTAACTAACACCTGAGACCTGGCGCCTTGACACATTTCTAAGGCACAAAGAGCAAAGATTTGCACCAGGGGGATATGTGAGGCAGGGCACAGGTCAAGGGCACCGTGGGTTAAACATGTTGGTACGTCTCAGCTTCTCTGCTGTGCCAAGATGACTGAAAAGCACAAACCGATACACGGTATATCCTCTCAAAGAAATTTTAATGAAAATCGACCGTAGCTAGCCTAGCTTCCCTCGAATGTTGTTTTGGTATGGCTCTGCCTAATTCATTTTGGGCTTGAGGTGAGGCAAGACTGCTTATTATAGATGCTTAAGGCAGAGTCCCAGCAGTCTGGTTCAGGAGCCCTGCTAAAGCTTTGGCGACATCATTTGTTGGCAGAAACAAGACGGTGAGTAGGAGATGCCACTTCCGTGACAAGAAGCCCTCAGCAAGAGTGCACACTCAACCCCCGCACAGCCAAGGCGGCAACCATTTTAATGCTCTCATCCCCTGATACATTAACAAATGCTCACGTCAGTATACAGAAGAAACATCGACGCGTTTAGGAAACATGTTTCAAGAGCTTTGGATTAATACCTCAGCTACATTCTGAAAAGAAACAGACATTTCTTGGCCGGATAAAAATCTCTCCAAATCCTAGGAAGATGGCATTGGTATTTGCGTTGTGTCTCATTGGTCCGAGAGGTGTAGCATGTGTAAGAGAGCCAGAGTTGTGCCCATTTTCACAATCTCCTTGTCATCTCTGTGGTGTTCCCTTCCATGTTTACAGCTCAAGCTAATGCTTCCCTCCTCCAGTGCTGATGACTGAGGTCCTAATTTCCCTCACATTTTCGCAGTTGATCTGCGGTAGGGGTTCTCCATTGCTCCCCATTTGGACACCACGGGTCATATCGCAGCATCGATCAGAAGCATCACACAGTTGCATGCTACTCAACATTTACCCCCATGCTCCAGATGTTACTTGGAATCCATTGTTGCAAATTCCTGCAAAGACATCCCAGCATTGTACCCAACCTGTCGGTGGGGCCCACAGTGCACTGAATGCACCTATTCAGACAACGTCTGGCTCAGAGTGGGGAAATCAGGCACTGTAATCAGTGTCAATAAGGCGGGTATGCTTATTCCAACAGCTCAAAGTGTCTGGAATGGTGACCAGATTCAGTCTGTCCTGGGTCTAAGCTGTATGGCTGTGAGGCACCCGTGTAAAGACCACCATTATCCCCCCACCAGTCCCGCTCCACACGATGGTAACAGTATCCTGAACATCGACTGAGAAACTCCTGGCACACACCGTTGCAGGACCAGGCTGCCCTGCACCATAGTGGGAGAACAAACACCTGCAATTTACACAGGGTGGGATTTTTCCATGCTGGGAAAATGTGCAAGAAGCAGTCCACCATCTGCAGGGACCAGGAATACCTCCCAGATCTGAGCAAGAACCACTACAATCCTTGCAGCAGCGAACCCGTGCCATACTCCAAACCGGCCGTGGCAGAGGGGCTATAGCTACTCCTGTCTGATAGGTCGGCTAGTCGAGCCGTTGCATCTGCAGGCTGACAGGTTCTGCAGGCTGACGGCATGCCTGGGTGCGAGCCCTGGCTCCTGTCACCAAAATACTGATTGCTCTGTCTGCTCTGCTCCCACTAAATGACAGTTATTTAGGGAAACTGGTCCGGTGTGGGAAGCTCTGGGTGTTACTGGTGATGGGTCGAAACAGACCCTCATCGGGTTGGAAGATGGCTGTCTGAAACTGGCTTGCGAATGGAACGCCCAAATTGCTCATGAAGCTCGCACGGCTGGGACATGTTCTGCTGTGATGTGCACGAGAGCAGAAGACACCAGCTAACACACTTAGCTTTTTGACTGAAATGTAATGGTAGTAAAGAAAAGGCCCATAAATCACTAGGAAACTGTCAGACAGTGACGGGGGAAGCAGGTATAGCACAAGCGGGATGAAAGCTTAAAAAAAACCAGACCCACGTGCTGAGAAACCTCTTCATGTGATGCTATAATTAATGCCGCCACCCCCCCTGGCATTTACACAGATGGAAATCCTCCCACCTCCCACTAAACCCCCCCCCCAAGAACATGCCACTATAAATGCTAATTTCCCACCTTTGTAGGAGAGTATCAACCGATAATCCCAGGTTGGGCTTCCTAGATGAAACAGTATCTGCCACCTTCTCCCACCCACCCAAAAAGTATGACTGCAGCAGGGGTCAGCTGATACTCAGAATTAAAGGCAACAAGGACCACAGCCAAAGTGTGGCCACTGCCCAATAGTTAGGTTGGGACACCGCACTGCTTTTAGATCTGGGGACTTGGCTTTCCCTGGCCCCTTTTGCAGTTATAATAAATACATACACCCTTCCTTTACCCCCAGCTGCCCCTTCGCTGCCCTCCTTTTCTCCTGACCTGCCCCCTTCCGTCACTCCCAGTTGCTCTTTGGGGTGGTTTTATGTTCTCCATCACTAAGAGCATTTCCACAGGATTACGGTCTCAGCTGTGCAACTCCTGCCCTTAATGTGCTGATAACAGATGGCCCTCTGGTGCTCGGCGCTAACGGCAGCGAAAGCGGCAGCCAGCCCAGCGGCGCTAGGGGACCGGTCAGCTCGAGGTCCTTCAGCAGCCAGGCTGGACACGTGTGAAAGTGCATGTTGATTGGCCAACACACAGCGTGACATCAATGGACCACCAGCCCCTCCACATCTCCCCCTTACCTCATATTCCTGTGAGAACCGAAGGCCGTCGTTGGCTTTGAGTCGCTCGATGTGGTCGGCCAGTTCACTTATGGAGATCGGTGGGTGCTCTCTCATGCCTGGGGGAGAGTCAAGGGACACAATCAGAATGAGCCGGCTGAGCGCGGGTGGGTAAGAGCTGACATACACAGACTCCCTGGTATACAAACAGCAATGAGGCCTCCCAGAGAGACGATGCAGTGTGGGCAAAGCAAGAGATAGAGAAAGCTGACGCAGACTGATGACGTCATCATGCTGCGCATAACTGGCACACACACCAGCAATGTGTATGAGCGTACTGACATGCTCACAGTTGGCAACAAAGCTCAACCCTCCAAAGGTCCACCCAAGACGTTGGGGGTGGGGGTGGGGGGGCGAAGGGACCACACAAGAACAGCCCAAGAATGAAAACCACAAAAACAAAAATGGCAGTGCGGTCCACGATCCCATTCTCAGTCTGGTTGCCATAACTGTTCCTGGCTGGAGGGAGGTGATGCATTTCCCAGCATTTCCACTGAGGGGCGCTGATGAGTCTGATATGTGGTGCCAGTCTGTCAACTTCGGTGCTACTGAATTCATTGGTCATTTGTGACTAAGTTACAAGCCCAAATTCCCTGACCTCCCGGGCATGAACTTACACTTGAAAAGGACTGACAGTGTGCGGCATGTTGATGAGGTGAAGGACCTGCAATGGATGATGAGTGTCTATCCTATGAGATGCAGGTTTAGTGGAAACACACACAAACACACATTGCTGGACTCCCCTGATAGCCTGGTTCAGTCATTTTGGCAGCACCAAACCCTAACAGACTGCAAGCTGTTAAATCGGACACAGCAGTGCTGTTACGCAGTGGTACCGGCCACTGAGGCCTGGGCTAAAGCTCACGTCCCCATTGCTCTCTATCAAACAAAAATTCAGTTCTGATTTCACAAGGAAAGTGTGTCTCGAGCCATTCAGAGCAGATGGATGATGCAGCTGGCGGGCTCTCGAGCACGGCGTGGCTTATCTTAGCGTACGGGCCGCGATCCGCACGCTGCGACCAGTTTGTTATTCCATGTTCAGACTCAAATGAAATCCTGCCCCCTCAGACTCGCTCCCCCAGAGCGGACACGGCCAATCGCTCGCTTTCCCGGGCAGAAACAGTTGTGAGAGCCAGCCTGGGAAATGGAAGCGAGACAGAGTGTCTGCAGTGGCCACGCCCATGCCGGAGAAGCCGGAGAAGACAGAGCATTTGCGGCAGGCTTGGGGCGGACGTGATTCTGGTGAGGCACTGAGGGAGTATGGACTGGGAAAGGGGAAAGCAGGGGATGTGTGAGTGTGTGTGAGAGAGAGAAAGAGAGAGAGAGAGAGAGAGAGAAAGAGAGAGAGAGAGAGAGATGGACGGATAGAGCCAGATGTGGACCAAACACACAGCAGTAGTGGAAACTAACTTTGAGTGTTCGGGCAACTGGGGGCACTGGGACCTGTGGAAAAAAGACGGGGGGAGGAATAAATCTGCTATCAAGAAGCACCGAGAGAGGGTTAAGACAGCATTATCCCTTCCGGAAGAAAAGATAGAGAGAAAGACAGGACAGGGGCCAGTGGCACTGCAGGAAGCTGCGAGTGGGACACGGAGAAGTGGAGCCACCTTCAGTTGCCATCAGTGATCTGCACCGGCACCCGAACATCACCCTCTTTGCCTTGAAGAAGCTGCACACTCCTGAGCCCAGGCTACAACCCGCCATGCTCGCATTCAGTAAAATCCCCGGAATCATCCTAGGAATTGAAGAGTACATCGATCTCTCTCGGCCTCGAGCGTCTTGGCAGACAGTTGAGGGAGCCGGAGCAATGACCGCTACGGTCTTCAGTCAAGGTCATCGGATGTGTGCAAGACTGCAATAGGACACGCCAGCACCCTGACGCTCTGTCAGATGGGTGCCCCCTGGTGGACGTTCAAAGAAGCTCCTCCAGAACAAAGACCAAAAAAAAAAACCCAGCAAAGAAACAGCATGCATTTCAAAGCCTCACGTCTAACATGGGGTATTTAATCAGACATGCTCCAAAAAAGCACATGCATATTTTAACCAAGTTCTTAAAGCCTTTTTCCTCCTTGTCAGCTTTTCTTTTTTAACGGGAGCCAATGAGAAGGAGGTGGTGGAGGAGACCCTTCCCACAATGCAATCTGTGCAGAGAACGCACCATGTAGCACAGTGCCTCCTGTGGGCCAGCCTTTTTAATTCCTCCTCCAGGTTCAAAGAGATGGAGCACAGATGCCCAAGAATTAATATCTTTAATTACCTCAGACGGTTATGCATCATAGCAGAAGGACAGAGTAGAGGAACAGTGACTAACATCTCCTTTTAAACGCCATTACCCACCTCCTCTGTCACCTTGAGGCCAGGAAGAGAGAGACTATCAGCTTATTTACATTTAAAAAGGCAACAGCCGTGCTCTTGGGGGGGGGGGGGGGGGGGGCAGGGAGAGAGACGTGGGAGACAGAGAGGAAGGGAGGAAGAGATGGAGGAGAAGTAGGGAGAGATATGGGGGAGAGAAA